GCTCTTCCTGATGCCCTTCTAACTCCAGGACCAAGAAGCAGTAAAAGGAAAAGCAGAAGAAAGGAGAGTACCTGGTTTTTGACAGGAGTAACATATCCCTTCTTTCGATAGTCAACAGAGTCTGGAGTTCGGCCCTCCCAGTCTGGGATATACAGGGTATCATTGCTAAGGGAATGAGATGGGGGTACTTTGAGTCCAGTCATCTTTTGAACCACCTCTTCACTGGTCTGAGACAAAGAAGAAAGATACCAGGCATGAGGAAGAAACTAAGACAAAAAATGCAGGTAGGCCAAAAACCGAAGCTTAACTCACCATATCCCCCAAGTGGTTCATGGCCAGTTCATATGTATGGATACCAAGAGAAGCCTCAAGATTATGGATAGAAATATACTTCAGGTTTTTCTCCCAGGTTAAACGCCGAGATATTTCATCAACCTAAACAGAGCATAGTCAATACTTGCAAAGCCTGTGGGTGAAGTTACATATGTAACACTAGGAGTTTTTAGGAAAAAAATAAACTGATAACCGAGAGATTACAATGTAGTTGGGAAATTAATCATAGGATTATTAAAAGCATGGAAAAAGAAATCTAAACGAATACCAATAATACAAAGCTCTGGAGAGATCTATACAAACAATTGTGATAGATTAATAGCACTGATCTGAGAAGTCTTTCCAAGTAAGAAGCATGACAGATATAAAGCAGAGGAAGGTTCAGATTTGATGGAAGTTAAGTTGAAGTGGACATTTGAAAACAATATGGCAAGAGTTAGGGAACCAGCTTTGCTTGGTTGGAATAAAGTATTTGGATTGGAGAAAGAAGCCTAGAAGATAGGACTGGGGGTGCCAGGTCCCAACCCTCCTGCCATGCTCCCCTTCCAATCCCCAAGCACCTTGCTGTTATATTGCTTGCCATAGGTCTTCTTCCAGAGCTCCCACTGGGTGTCCAGAATCTCCTCAGGGTACAGAGCAAAGCTCACCATGGGTAGCAGCAGAAGCTTGAGCCCCCACATCCTGGGGAAGGCAATAATTAGGGGAAATTCTTCCATTTGGCAAGGGGTTCACAGCCTGGCATGGGATGAGTTAATAGCTGGAACCATATTCCCAGAAAGGTGGGTCTTATTTTAGGAGTCACAGACGCCTTTGAAAGCTAATAAAAGTCCTTCTAACAAGAAAAATGTATGCACAGGGGCCAGCAGGCAGCATGGTGGTTAAGGTGCTAGACTCCCACATGGACAAACGCAGTTTGTCTTGGACCCAGGTGGTTAAAAATCATGCCGAGTGCATGTGTGTGCATGCCCAAAATCCTGAGAGGAGAGTGGAGAAGGGTTGTAGTGTGGCCATTCCCCCTGGGGGGTGATTTCTCGCTTTCCCTCTGTCTTGCACACTCTATGGCAAAAACCTTATATTTAAAAAAATGCATACACACACACAATAATCCCAGAAAATTAATGAACCTAAAGTTAAAGACCCCTTCCTCTAAACGAAAAGGCAGAGAAAAACTAGGCATTATCAGAAAGACATAATTGAAGGTGATTTTCATATGATAAAATGATAGAATGCTGATACATCTGGTTTTAAGTATTCTGACCTAGGGAGATTCAACCAATCCCCAACACACACACACACAACCAGAAATGGGGAGAAACTGGACAATCCATGGGCTTCTGTACATCTTCTCCAGTGTCCCCAGCAGGCTTGGAGGTGAACGAGGTAAGGGCCAGAGGGAATGGGGTTGGAGAATACACAAAGGAGAGATTTTTCAGCAAAGTTTTACTTCCTGATCATTTCTTCAAGGCATTCTTTGCTTCCTTGTTTAAATTGTATGTTTCCCAATTTTGCCAGGAAAGAATCAAACTTGACAGTATTTCCTGCTCTCTGTAACTTCTCCTGTTTTCTGAGTTTTTCTCTTACTCAATGCATTTATTTCTTCCTTTCTCTCCCTCACCCCTTGTGGCAGGAAACTGTGTTAATCTTAACCAGATGCTGTGGGCAGGGAGAATTTTTTCCAAAAAAACCCCCAAAAACTCTGCGGACCAAAAAAAAAAACGGCGGGGGGGGGGGGGCCCAGAGCACAAA